TCTTTCAGTGGTTGATTCACAGTTAAATATGATTAAAGTTCTTTTTTTTGGAACCGATTTTTCTCTTTCTTTTGTAGTTCGTGTTTTTCGACCTCTCACATAGGCCTATATTTGGCATAATTAAATCTGAAGTCATTTTGCCTTCGTCGTATTGCATTGCTTTCAAGGCGTGTATATATTATTTTTCTAATTAACATCATTAACTTAACATGATTTTGTAAATAAATTGTAATTTGTAATTAAAAGTGTAAATTGTATTTAAAAGTCTAGGTAATTCGACACAAGTGCGCCGATGATACACTTTTAGAAGTGGCACACAAAAAGCGTCCTTTCTTTAGAAATGCTGTTAAATTCTGGTCATTAAATAATTTACCACTTCACTAGCCGTCAATTGATCAATCATCACAAACTACAGACTTTAGCCATCATGTATGGCAAAACCAATTCTCTAAAAAAGTAATTACTGTTGAACTTCTTACCGTAATCCTCTGACTAATTATCTTACGTCGATAGTAGCGGTGTTGATTTGAATTGTTTTTTAAATCTTAACATGTTAATTTTATCGTCTCTTTACAAACTTAAATGTTTTTGAAGACGATTATTCGACGGTAGGTTGAGATTCATATTGGAGATATGATCCTGGTTTTACCAAAACAAAAACATTGGTTCTTCTTGGAATTTATTTTCTGTAAGGAGGCCGATATTCATGAGTACTTTCGAATGCTGTTCGGTATAAAATTAATGGAAATGAGCAAAGTATTTGCAAGCGAAATCATCCTTACATCCTTCTGTACTATCTGAAAAAAAATTTTGAAACAAGCTTTTCATTCTAGGAATGATGGAAAACGGTAATTTGCGTCAAAAACTTAGAATCTAAGCATCGCTTTTTTTATCTGGACCAAGAGTCTGTAGTTTGTGATGATTGATCAATTGACGGCTAGTGAAGTGGTAAATTATTTAATGACCAGAATTTAACAGCATTTCTAAAGAACATAAACATATTATTACGGTCTTGGTGCTCTTAAATTGTCTTAAGTTCTCTTGATCTTAAATAATGAGCACTTGCACACGGTACAGTGAATGGTCATCAGTCTAAGTTATTTTTTTACTGATCATTGATCCGCGATCATCAAGTTACGGACATCCACCCGACTAAGTACAGATACGTCAAGAACAGAAGTTGATAAGAGCACATCTATAACTTCTTGAAGCCATGTATTCTTCACTTTCTCAGCTCTGTTATAACTTATTTTGTGAAAAAAACATCAATAGTAATTAACATTTAACAGAAAAGTTGGAAGGAGGTAGATCGTCTGCTGATTTTTTGCTCTTAACGTACTGTGTTTTTGCTTTTTATATTTCCAGTTTGGATTTAACTAAACGGCTTATTGTTCATTGTGTCATTACAGTCTAATTTGATTTCTCTTTTGTGTAGTGAAGCAAGAATATGAAAAGAAAATGTGAAAGTATCACTTTATGTGCTAACTGTCAACCAGGTGACTGAGAAAAAATTTTAAACTTACCCATGCAGGAAAAACATAGATTTTCCGTCTCGCAAGAATACTGTCAATTAATCGATGAATTTTTTTCTTCTAGATTAATATCAATAATCAAATCGAACAATGGTGAATCCTAAAGGTTACCGTCGTGGCACACGACATTTATTCTCAAGAGAATTTAGACAAAATGGGCGTATACCATTGGCAACGTACATGAAAGTTTACAAACGAGGAGATATTGTTGATATTAAAGTAAGCATTTTTTAAACAACTTTTCTAAAATTTTCTAATCTGTTCTTGTCTTGCTTCTGCCAAAATTCTTCAGAAAGAAAATTAAACCCATAACAATGATCTCATATCAAACTATTTCAGGGTAACGGTGCCGTTCAAAAAGGTATGCCACATAAATTTTACCATGGAAAAACTGGTCGTGTGTTTAATGTTACTCGACATGCCGTTGGTGTTATTGTCAATAAACGTGTGAGGTAAATAATCTTTCTGCATTTATCTGAGTGTTTGTGCGCACTTACAGCTAACTATCTCATTTTATAAAGTGAATGAGTGGTAAACATAATAAGTGCGAGATTAAATTAGTTTGGTAATGCATAACCTGCGTTTCTTCGGTAATTAAATGCGAGTGATACGCGGGAACGTTACCATACATTTTATTTTTCATTTCAAAATTGTTGTTCTTGTCACTGTAATTGCTGTTCTTTTTAGATATCGTATAATGGAAAAACGTATTAATGTCAGAGTTGAACATGGTAAGCTGTGAAGAGTTAAAATTATTACAACAAACAGTCTGTTAAACATTTTCCTTATTCTAGTTAAACATTCAACATGTCGTCTGGACTTTTTAAACCGTGTCAAAAAAAACGAAGAATTGAAACGTGCTGCAAAACTACAAGGAAAAGTTCTTTCAAGTCAAAGTTTAAAAAGACACGTAAGATAAATTCTTTTCGATTTTCTTATAGAGACAAAACTATTTTTTATTTTAGCCGGAAGGACCACGCAAACAACATCTTGTTCGTACAAAAAATAATAAACCACAATTAGTTGAACCTATACCGTATCAATTCGTCGCCTAAAAAGATGAATATTATTTTGTTATCTTTTGTTTATTTGCCCGTTTAATAACCAGAAAAAGTTGTTTTGTTCATTTATAACAGAATATGAACAGTTTTTTTGTAATACATGAACGTATACATTGTGAAGTTTAAATAAAATCGAAACTTAATAAAGAATAAGCAAATATGCATCCGGTTTACCTTTTCATCCTCAGAAAATTTGGAAAACAGAAGCTAATGAATCATTAATAATGTCCTCTGATTTTCGAAAAGCAGTTGAAGAACTCAGACAGAATAAAAAGTTGCATAACTGTATTTAAGTCAGATAAAATGTTATTGTGTTAAGGTTTGCAGCTCTGTGTTTAGTTGCATTATTCGTTGAATCGTCTTTCTTTAGCTATTGTATAATTTTCAATAATTATTTGATTTTTAGATGGCTGATAGTATTGTAGGACGTAAAAAAGAAAATATTGTCGATTTAAATAAATATCTGGATAAACGTATACGAGTGAAATTTGGTGGTGGACGCGAATGTAGTGGTGTTTTAAAAGGTATATATGCTTTAAAAATGACTTTTTTTTTCTTCTAATTTGTGCTATTGCTTTAGGTTATGATCAGTTATTAAACTTGGTACTTGATCAAACAACTGAATATTTACGTGATCCTGATGAACAATATAAAATAAGTGATGATACAAGACAATTGGGCTTAGTTGTTTGTCGTGGAACATCGGTGATTTTGATTTGTCCTCAAGAAGGAATGGAAGAAATAGCTAATCCATTTGTTCAACATGAATAAGACAATTTTTTTTATTTTCCTATTTTATGATGAAGATCAGACTATTGTTGTGTTATTGTTTTTTTCTTATGTTTTGTAATTATTTGTACAGTTAACAAAACACAAAAAAATAAAGTGAGCATAGCATTTTGGTGAGAAGACAGTTTCTCATGTTTGATACTGATTAATAATGCTTTATGCCATTAAATATAAACGAGAAAACATTTATTGTATCTTATTGTTGTATAATTGACAAATATGACTATCTTGAATTTTTGTTTGCTCTAGATAAAACGAAATGGCATGTCGCACACTGGCGAAAAACGGTTTGTATGGCACTTTCCTTGACTACGTGAAAGGATAAAATAGTGTTTATTGTATATGCTAACGAGGGAATCGTCCCAGGTGCCCAACTCCGATTTCCTTCATTTATACCTCATTTTATAGAGCACATCGAGCTGGTAAAAAGCCTAAAAGGATTTTTGCCCATGACTCTTGAAGTCTCGGTTTTCTGCAAAACCAGTTTTTGAGAAATTCTAAAAAATAATCAAAACCTTTCATAATGAGGCATAATTGTAGTCCGCACATTTCTGATTAAAATGAGACGTCTCCCAGCTCTACACGACATTTCTTTACAAAGTTACAGAATTTACAAGAAAAGCCCTAAATGTTCATTGTCAGCTCAAAGCTGTAGAAATAAGAAGAAATTAATTTAGGACTTTTCTTGTAAATTCTATAACTTTGCAAAGAAAGGTCATGTAGAGCTGAAAGACGCCTCATTTTAATCAGAAATGTGCGGGCTACAATTATGCCTCATTATGAAAGGTTTTGATTATGTTTTAGAATTTCTCAAAAACTGGTTTTGTAGAAAACCGAGACTTCAAGAGCCATGGGTAAAAATCCTTTTAGGCTTTTTACCAGCTCGATGTGCTCTATAAAACGAGGTATAAATGAAGGAAATCGGAGTTGGGCACCTGGGGCGATTCCCTCGTAAGTAGTAACGAGAAGATCTGAATTATAATATGTAGAGTTTAGGCTAATTTTCTTGTGCATCTTCTCACACGTAATGTAAAATTTAATCTGTGTATATTCATCAACTGACTGGAATTTTAGGTCCTCCGTTATTACAAGCGATTATTCATACTCGATCCGCTGAACGCACAACAAGAGATCTACCACCACTTCCGAAAGTTTTACGTAAGTGATTCAGACAATGTATAATAGCCAACGGTTATTTTTTTACTTTACTTTCTAATTTGTCTATAGCCACTGGTTTACCATTATCAAATGAATTACCAGAAGTGAAAATGATTCCGGATACCCCAACGAATTTAAACCAATATCCTAATATGAGTAGACGAATGCTTGAATGCCGTGGAGTTGAAACAATTCATAATAAACTTATTCATAAGCAGTATGGAATTATGGTAAAGCCATAACTCTTGAGAGTCAACCAGCGAAACTGATTGTTTTCGTTCCAGGCATTGGCTCCAGGTTTAATGACAGAAAGTCATTTTAACACAATGCGAAATATGACCAATAAACGTATAGATATGACACGTTGTTTTGCTATTTGGCGTGTTGATCCTCCTTGGAAACCATGGTATTTTCATGGTTTAAATAAAAAGCGTGGCACAGGCAAAGGAAGCATTGATTTTTTTGTGACGCCCGTTAAAATAAATCGTATCATCATTGAAGTAGGTGGCACAATACCATTCGAACAATTATATCGAACACTACTACCTATTGCCGAATCGTTACCATTTCCAGCTATACCGGTTTCACAAGAACTACTTGATAAATTTGAAAAAGAAAGAAATGAAATTGAAGAAAAAAATTTAAATCCATTGAGATGGGAATATCTCATTAGAAACAATGTTTTAAAATGTCATCGAACTGCATCTATGTATGATATTGAATTTGCCAGATTTGGACCCAAGATTAGATAAATTTTTGTAATAATATTATTTTTCTGTGTATTTATATTTCTTTTTAAATTTTTTACATTAGAAGTATTGGTTGAAAAGAAAAAATGCAGCATGCAAAAGGAAGATAACTGGTAATAAGACATAATAATTTTATAGTGAAAATGGTTATATTTTATACAGTAGCTCTTTGCGATAGAGACCTGTAGTTACCCCGAGCCCGACTCGACCTGATCAATTTTTACTCTTTTGTTTTGTTCTCAAGTTTATGTCTTTTTATTTACCTATTTGTTTAACGGAGGACATCGATCGCATTACAGACGAGTAATCTTTTGCTAATAGTCTGCTAATATTCCAGAAAATTTGAGCATTTATATCTTTCTAAATTCGCAATATCAGTTCTAATAAAAAAGAAATTTTATCATTGAAAATTGTGCGGTTTGGAAAAATATTGTTTTCTTTCAAGAAGAAAAGTTCAATAACAAGCGAATTTAGGAAGATATAACTCAAATTTTCTATAATATTAGCAGACTATTAGCGAAAGTAAGGTGCACAAAAAGCAGACTTTCCATGAAATTTATTTTCGATTTTTTTCATATACCATTCGATAGAGGGCTTCGAGCTGATCACGAATATGTGCTCTTCGTTTTTTTTTTTGGAGACTTTTTACTCGCCCTAAAACTGAAAAAACTCGAAAGGTGTCAAAAACCGAAAAAATGCAAGGTTTCAAGAAAATGGACGTAGTTTTTTCGCGTTTTGGTTTCAATGCATGAAACTAAGTTTTCTTGATTCAGCATCAAAAACTGAATCTAGAACAACATATTTCAAGGGTTCAGAACGAAAATGGATTTTTGGTAATGCCCGAAACAGGTACGGCTAAAAATCCGAGACCGATTTTGCAAGCCTAACACAGGTTCCAGAGCCAATGCTTTTACATGACTAGGTTCGCCAGATGCTCCCCTTCAAAAGTACACGTGTAGCTTTTTAAAATTCCTTTTGGTTGCTTAGAAAAATCATTTTTTCTAAATCAGAGGCGAAAAGGTCGGAATTTTGCTCGTAATTCTTATTTATCTTCACCAGAACTCATTTTTTATGCAGTAAAAGTACCATATTTAGAATCAGGATCAAATAATAATTCTTTGTTTTGACTGGGTTACAGAATTATTACTGTTACTACACAGTATTCCTTTAGAACAAAAAAGTTCATACTGATATGTGTCCTCCTTTAAGGGCTTTTATCAGCTCATTATCCTCTATTAACTGACATAATATCATTAAAAACAGAGTTGGGGATCGAAGACGTTGCCTCGTTAGTGAATGCAGTTGTTCTGAAATAAGTATTCCAACTGAAAATTCCAGTAGAGTTAACTTTTCAACGGGTAATACAAAATTGAAATTATTTTCTATATTTTAAATTACGCCGCAAAATGTTCAACCCGAACCCGACCCAGCCCCAGGATCGGATCCGGTTGCAAGTCTCTACTTTGCGATTGAAAGAACTAATGATTAATATTTTTTTCATGCGTTCGAGTGAAATAACCAACAACGGGTGTCCCATAACTCCATCAAATAAAAGCTTTTTCGGTCGGGTTTGTTTTGTTTTGATCAAGAATGTTTGCTCTTCTCTATCTAACTGCAAAACCAAAACTTCAATCATGTTTTCCGCACCTTGCTTGAACACATTGTTGGAAACGGGAAGATTGTCAACTTTTGACGTATTTTTGTAACTTCGTTCTCCAGTACACCATCTGCTCTAAAAAACTTCTTTTACAGATCACGAGAAAGGGCATACTGATAGAAGTATAATAGAAACCTCCAATCGAACAAACTGTATCTAATCACTGGCGCCCAAAGTCGACGTATTGGCGGTTTCTATTGTACGTATTTTTGCCTAACATATGTACGTATTTTCAGTTTTTTTTTAACCATATTCGACAACCTTTCTTCCGATTTTGAGGCCATATTCTGAAAGAGCGTAAAAAGCTGAGTCGAGTCACGTATTTCACTCATGAGACCAAAACTTTGTTTTCCCATAATATTAGATCGAAGAGCGATGGTCGAAAAGACCACCAGTTAAAAAAAGTGATTTGGTAAATGCTAGTAAGGTTTTAACGTTAAATCAGGCCGATATTCGTAATCAGCGCGAAATTCTGCGTTGAATAATGTATCTTTCGTTGAAATTTGAGATACATAAAATTTCGATGTCCCGAGGGTAGGGGCAAAATTTTTTTGAGAAAAACGAAACCTTGTTTTTGGAAAAAATGAATCGACTGTTTTGTTCACAATTCGATGCTGATTACAACCATGTGATTTTTTCGCCGAAAAAGTGTGACATAAAAAATGACCTTACCGCCATTTGTCCTTTTCAGGAAATTCTCAGAATAGGTCATAGAACGTATATCGAATCGAAAAATTACATATGGTTTCCGCTTTATACATACCATTTTTTAGCAGATCTCTGGAAAGGCTTCCGCGGAACCGTAGTTCAGATAGGATTTTTTCGAGTACTTCCGCATTCTGCGACCTATTCTGAGAATTTCCTGAAAATTTGAGTCGTTTTGGACGAGAAATGAGCGAAATATACGGTTTTTAATTTTTGACGATAACAGACGAAAAGCCGGGTTTTCGCCAAACTGACTTTTCTGAAGTTGTGGTTGAATGGGAAATGAAACAAATATCGCCACGATGATCAGCGTGATCGATTACCTGTGATTCACATGTTTCTACGATTCCATCCGACGTGTCTGGAACGAGATGTATGCATGTGTGCGTAGTTTTGAAGACAAATGTTCTGGCTTATAGATGCAGTGAGTCTTTTTGATCGAATTGTATTTGCACGATATTTTTCTAAATGGTTTGCCTTCCCTACTAAAGTAGTTACCAACGACAGAAACTTGAATGATCGGGCGTGCCACAGTCGAAGAGCGAGATAGGTCGTTCATGTGGATTAGAGATGTGCACGGGTACCATTTTCGTACCCTACCCGACCCGAAAATTTTTTTTCCACCCGTACCCGGCTCCGCCCGACAACTTTGTATCCGTATCCGATCCGATCCGAGAACTGTGTACCCGTACCCGACTCGTAATCGACTTATACCTAAAAATTTTCTCCTTTTTGTTTTCCAGCTAAAAACTTTTGTTTTTCGGCTGAAGATGTCAAATTATCATTACGTTCTCAAGTAATTCTTTTTTAAACCTTCATGTATGTTAGCTAAATTTCTGTATTTTTTCACTAAAATTTTGTGGGTTTTCCACTAGAACCTTCTGGTTTTCGGGTAAATTAAAAAAAATAGAACCCGTACCTGTAACTGCTCTATCCGTACCCGATCCGTACCCGACAACTTCGTACCCGTACCCAACCTTCGGGCCGGGTACGGGTCGGGTTGCACATCTCTAATGTGGGTGTAAAAACGTATTTTTGCCTGACTACAAGCAAAAAAGTGTTTTGACTCAGCGCTTGTTTTGAATTTGTATTAGGTCAGAATTTAATCTTCCTATGAAAGTGAACTATTCATTGCTGATGTTTCGACGACAACCCTAGTAAGAAACCTATATATTTCTTGACAGGATTCTTGAGAAATCCGGCCAGGATTTAGCTGGCTTTAGGAAAATCTTACAGAATCCTAAAGAAGTCAGGTATACCGGAAAGTCGTAGGATTTGCCAGGATTCTGTTAGGATCTTAGCAAGAAAATGCGATGACTGACTCATAATGTAGCAGGAATTATTTAGGATTTTAGTAGGAAAATATAATTCTTGAACAGGAATTTCATAGGATTGCTTCTGTGTTCCTATCTCTCGTGAAATTTCTCCATCCGTTCCCATTGTTTGATCAAAAGTTACCTAATATTTCTTTGTAACTCTAAAGCACATTTAAAAATGGCGCGTATACATTTATTACTTCAACCTGAGATTAACTATCTTTATTCATTAAGAAATAAAATCCTGGCAGGATCTTAAATGTTAAAATCTGCTCCAAACTCCTGGTAGGAGCTAATATCTCGGATCCTGCTAGGAAATTATTAGGATCCCATACCGATCATGATAAAATCCTGGTAGGAAACAGATAAGAAGTGGATAGAATTTTGTCTGGGGAACAGTCTTGGAATCGTCAGCATCGCTTTGATGAATGTTATTCATATTGGAATGTCAATGCATCTGTCTTTATGATTCATCGGGTAAGTATTTTTTTACAACAAAAAGAAAATACATTTTGAGAGCAAAAGAGAAGATAAACAGAAACATTGAATAGTGTATATGTCTTAATTAGTGTTTAATTTTAATATCATTCATATTTGAAACATTTGAATAGAAAATATGACTGGACGGTTTTGTTGATATTCCACCATTTTCCTGGATTTGTAAATGTAAATTGTTACTGTTGGTTTCACTATTTTGCCTTTCTTTTACTTTCAGTTTTTTACATTTACATTTTTGGAATTTTCGAAATTGAAGTACAGTGCCCGAATTTGCCATCGAAAAACTATTATAGTGCACATGATTATGATTTGTCACAGTATTTTCATTTGTATTTTGTTTAATATATTGTTGACGTGGTGATGATTGTATTTGCTGACTCTCTCCTAATAATTGACCAATTCGTCTAAAGGCATTATTTCGTTCCATAAATGTATGATTTAGAAAATAATTACAATGTGCAATTGTAAACGCTTCTTTTAAGAAAACAATGGATGTTAAACTATATAGGAAAAAGTTGAGAGTATAATTTAAATTGCGAATGGTTAATGCCAAATAACGAAAAGCAATATTAATTATATTTAATTTAAGATCAACAATACCAAATGATGTTGAAAATAGCCAATACCAACATATTTGAAATGGTAATGTAAATGTTATAAATGAAAATGAGACGGCTATTAACATAACAGATATATGAATGCGTCGTGATAGACGATTTCGAATACGACTACGTAATTTAAATACGGTAATGATCGATAATATTAAAATTAAAATAGATGGTAAAACATAGATAAAAAATATTTGAATTGAACCAATGATTTGGTATGTTTTTGAATAGAATAATAAGCAATTGGATACTTGTGATGCAAAAATAACAAGACCCAATGGTGCCAAAAGAGCAACAATGACAATAATTAAAACGATGTACCATGCTTGACGACGATTAAAACTTTGACGAATTAAAAATGGTTTACTTACAGATAAATAACGTTCTAGTGCTATAACAAGTATTAACCATGAATTAATCGATGAACCAACTAAATCAATATAAACATGAAATGCGCATAAAAAACGCGAACCGGTGACAACAAAACCAATGAAAACTTTATGATTTAACCATTGCATTGTAACGGGACCAGCTAATATTAAAATGTTTGTTAACGATAATGTGGCCATAAAAACACTTACAGGATAGCGACACATACGTTTACGTAAAAATATAATCATGCTTAATGCATGAGTTGGAATACCTAAAAATCAAAATATGAATAAGATTTTATTATAATTCGCTTTTATCTCGATTGAATGTATGATCGATCATACTGTATGATATCGTTGTCAAGTTAATATTAAATCATTCAATATTTTTAGTACGATTATCGATAATATCTAATACTTTTCAGTTTACTTCGATATTATTCCATGTTCAAAAGAAAATTATTTACCTGTCGTTAAGTGATAGCGATCAATTTATAAAAAGAATGATAGAATCTCTATAGGTTTTGTTTTTAAGTTTTGAAAAAAATGTTACTTTTTTTTTTGTTACTATGATTAATAAAACCAATCAACTATTTTAAGTATATTTTATAGTAGAAAAAAAATTTTTTTTTCGTATAATATAGTAAAACATACCTATAATAATTAAAATTGGATTTGCATAAAAAAATATATCATCACTAATATAATAGAATCGTGTATAAGAACGATATGTTTCCCAATCATCAAATTCAGTTGAATTGCTATCGATAAAAGATGTTGTTTCTGTTGTTGTATTTAACATGTTTTATACACAAGGAACCACATACGTTCAATTGTCACCGGTATATGAAATTTATAAATTATCGTCAATATTGTTTGACATTATCAGGAGTATGCGTGTACTTTTTACAAATAACACTTAAAATCTAGTATTTTCTCTTTTTTTCGAATTTTTATTTTATATTCTAAAGAAAGAAAATCTAAGTAGATGTTGATGTTAATTAAACGCCGTGTCATACTAATACATAGAGAATTATATAAGAGGATTAAATATGTCGATTTGTATGAGTAGGCTTTTTCTTTTCTTTTATTTTTATTTAATTTACTAAAATAATTTCTATAATAATTACACATTTTAATTATATTGTTCATAGTACTCAGAATAGAGAAATTTATTTATCCAGTCATTTTCTTTTTTTTTGTGGACGCAATATATTTTCTCTCTTGTTGAACTTACTCATTTCCTTCTATCTGTCAAAAGGTATATATCTGCTATATATACGTAACGATTATTCGATACTATACTTCTTCTCTGGGTTTCTTCTTTTTTTAATTCATTATTTATTTATGAATTAATTACATTTTTTAATCTGAAAATATATAAGAAAAGAGAAAAATGGAGAAGATGAAATTGATGAAATCAGGGTAGGGTATTTTTTCATAAGCAACAATAACACGAGGAAGAATAAAAATAGACTTTTGTTTGAGTGGTACTTGGAGACAGCGAGTACTGTTAGAACTTGGATTTTTTTTTCTAGCTATTCTCTCATTTCATATTAATGTATATGGGGGTCAAGAGAGTATTGTATTGTACATATATATAAAAATTTGTATTAGTCTCTGTAACTTAAGCACATCAGACGTAAAGTGATATTTGAGAGAATTTATTCTAACTTCTCTATCTAGCATCTCACTGATTATACCATCAACGCAGCAATAGCAAAAAATAATCTTTTTAAAATTCGACGATTTAAAATAAGCTCTACTCCGGTTTAAGGGAGACAAAATTGTTAATATTAAAGAAATATATATTAGTGATTTCAGTTTTTTTCCTTCAAACTCTAAATTTCATTTCACATGATACGATTAGAAAACATTATCTGATTAAATCTGTTTTATGAGAGATGGATGTATCTTGTCGTTGACTAAATTATATACTATCGTGGCTCATTCTTGTGTCAATGAACTGGGACTGAATCTACACATTTTATTAAAAACGTGGTCTCAATTAAGAAGCCTGGACTATCGTACGTGTGCTGTTGAACACATATCATATGAAGTCGAAACAAATTTGGCTGCTGGAGTTTTTTTGTAGACGAGAAAAAATGTTTGTTTTGCAGATTACTTATAATCATAATTTTATGACTAATATAAAATATCTCTACTTAGGTCCGACTGAGATGTGAGATATTTTTTGTAAAAACTAGCTCGTGTTGATTGCTCCGAAGAAAAGATTATAACTTTATACTTAAATTCTCGGCAACTTTTGACACATGAGTTTGCTACAAGGTTTGCTACTATGGATGGAGAGCGCGTGCGCAAAGTTTGGATTTTTTCCACTTAATTCGAATTTTTCACGATTTTCACCAATGAAAACGAAGTTCACATCAACAGACATAGAGAAACATGCAGGAGGGAAACAGCAGACTCCTGGACTCCAGGAGTCTATTGGAGTCCTCTGTAGTCCGAAGGATATATATTTTTATTTTACTTTATATTTGTGAAACTATGCAATATTTTATTGTTTATTTATTAATTATGATCAAAAATATATATTGAGAAAGATAAATTTAAAAGCTTTGCCAAGATTGGAAACAAACGAGTCATAATAAAGGAACTATGGACAATGTTAATAGTAATAGATTTTCATACAACAGAAACACTTCTACGAACTTCTAGACTTCTAGACTTCAGGAGTCCAATGGAGTCCAGACGTCTGCTGTTCCCCCCTTGGAAACATGTCTCGATTTACTAAAACTATTTATGGTTATTTTATAAATACTGTCTCCTATATCAATAACGGAGCGAACCTGAGCAGACATATTTTATATTAGTCATAAAATAATGATTATAAGGGATCTGCAAAAAGAACATTTTTTCTTTAATTCATCTGCACAAGCCAAATCTGTCTCGTTTCTATATGAATCTAACGCGATGATGCTCATTAAATTATTTTTATTATTACAAATCCATTTACATCCATTGGATACATATGTATATATATATATATAGTTTATAAGTTTCAGTACTTTCGTAATCGTAATTTGAAACAATTAAAACAAAAGTAGTACCATTGAAGATGAACTATAAAATAGAAAGAAAAAAAAAACGCAAAATATTTATGACGGATCAAATTACGGAAAGAAATGATGCACATACCACTACAGAAAAACAGGCAAAAGAAAGAAAAATACACATATACATATATATACAACTGACACGATAACTAATCTTTCCGTTTATAAAATTGATTATTCAAGTTTTAACCTTGATGGTGATTAAACACGAACAGTTGCTCGATTATCATTGTTAATTCAATATTTGAAGTTACACAGGAAGATTATTCATTTCTATTAGTCGAAGAAGAAGAAGAAGAAGATTTCGATCAATCGTCTATACGAAATACAATACAAAACATCATGGTCTCTATGTTTTATCATCAACATTGTCTGACGAAGTTCATTTGACATTACATTTGAAAAACTAATAAAAAGAAGAAGAAAAATAAATTTGTACGATTTGTTAAAATACAAAGGCTAACTCAAGTAAAAGAAATCTTAATGTATTTTTCCTATTTTTATTTATTTTTTTTTCTCTAGAATTAATGACAATGCTCACGAGATTATATCGATAGAAAAAGAAAAAGGGGAAAAAAAAGGAGCAAAAAATGATCTAGATTAAGTTTTGGAGATGTTCAAGAAGTCGAAAAGATGGATTGTTGTCAAACTCAATATATTTTATTCTTTGTGTATGGTTATTCACCTTTGAACTGATGTAGGACCTTGTTAATCAACAACATTTTGAGTAGTCATCCTAAGATGTCGGAATAACAAGTCTTTTCTCTGTTGTAAAAATGACGTTAAGAGCATCTTTCTCTCAGATAGATCTGTGGGATATAGGATATACTAATTAGAAAGAGAAGATCTGAGAAAGAGTACTGTGCGCTCTAGTAAACATAAATCACTGACCGTATATTCAAATTCTAAAATAAATTGTAGAATTATTCACTCTTCTTTTCATAAGAAAAGTTTCAAATTTCAGTTAAACTGTTTCACATATTTATTATCAAATAACAAAATGTCTTCAGAGACAATGTATTATTTGAATTATAATTCTCTCTTTCATACATGTGTATGAATTATAGGTTTATATAAATATTTTAGAGTGATGTTTAAAATCAATCGGCACACTTATAATTTACAGTCAATTTATTAAATACGGAAAACAAGAAATCATTTAAATATATTTCTTAGTGTATTAAATTTGAGAGTGCACAACGACTTTTTACTAGTATATCTCGACTTTGCTTTTTCTGAATGTTTGTTTACCAGGTGTGACAAAAGTTTTGGTGACATCTTATGTTTTTCGAATATTCCAGCCTAGATACAATATAGATTATGGAATCTATTTTCAAAGATGCATAATTTAAGTGTCTGAGAAAACTAATATGGACATATATTTTACAGTAATAAAATTCTAAATTATTAGAAGTCAAATACTTCGATGGAATCAAGTTCGACTACTATCTATCGATTCTTAATATATTTTGTAAATTTTTTTCTGCGCTGATTACAAAGACTGAGAAGATTAGGTATTCATTTTTCGATAGTGCATCAACAACTCTTTCAAAGATATATATAATCTTCTCGATCTGCTATATGTTACCGTAGCAAAAACTTTTTTATTTAATTTTGATTATGAAAATCGCTTCTTTGTAGCAATTAACTATTTCCTAATCCTATAAGAATGTTCATTTACTGTTTTTGTGGTAGGAAGAAAGGTAGATCGTTTTCGTATAAAGAGCTTTACAGTAATGATCTTTTTTGAGCTATAAATGCTTTTTCATAATCTTTTTTCTGAAGCGAACAACTGAGTGGAGAAAATCGTGCCATTTTTCGAAATAAAAGTCATTCAAAGAATAGAAAGTAACATTGAAAATATCTAAGTGTATACAATCAATGGATATTTTTAAGGACAATCTATTGGTGAGTTATATTTTATAAGTCTGATATTTATTCGAATTATAAACGCGAATAATTCCAAAATTCAGCGGGAAGTAATTGAACTTGATCCCATCGAAGTGTTTGACCTCTAGAAATTTTATAATTTTATTACTGCAAAATAGAGAACAATATCAGTTTTGTAGAAAATTAAATTACGCATCATTTGAAAACAGATTCCATAATCTATATTGTATCTAGGCTGAAATATTCGAAAAACATATGATGTTTAAAGAGTAGTGTAAAGATTAGTGTTTCTTAAGAACACTAATCTTTACACTTTTACAAACGGAAAAAGTTTTGACATTTATAGAAAATTCATCCTGTAAAAGATATGACCTTCAAAAATCTGTTCTAAGTCATCTACTGATGAAAGTTTATTTTTAACTAATAATAATAAGTTTAAGGTTATGATACGCACTTACAGATCTTTTTTTTAATTTTAAAATATCCTATATTTTTCTAGATTTTGTTGCTCTAAACGTCTCTATCTAATTTGACTTACTCCTTCGCCTATGTTTTATTACTAATGTACCGGAAAGCCGTTTATCTTTAATTAATTTAATCTCTGATTTCTTTCAATTTAATTCAACATGCAATACAGTTCCCTCATTAATTGCTTACCACTTCAGAAAACGCACAAACACAAGTGTAATGGTAATGACTATATATCCGATTTCTTGTTGAAAAGAAAATATTTTTTTTTTAAAAAAGAACAACAAGAAACAAAACCGTTGTTCTTTCTCTAATCGCTAATAGAAAGCGAGAAAATATACTGTAAAAAAATTTGTTAATTAGAACT